GGCATATTCCCTTCTGCGATTTCAACTTCTTATCTTTGTCAAGTAAACATATTTTGATTTTGTGAAATAATCCTTACCAGTTGATAATAAACACACTTGTTTCCACATACTCACAGCTATAGCTTATAAAATGGAACCAGCCAATATTTTTGAACTTATAATGTTCATTTTGGTTACACATTATAAGCAGTATTTCATTCAAGCAGATCCAAAAAAAATAATAATGAAAGCATCACTAGAGCCAGTTAGTTCTTCTTTGGGAGACCAAACATTCAGTTGCAGCTTTTACAAACTCCTTGAGTGAAAACACATCTTCATAAGTTCCCACAACAATTTATTTATATGAATTTATTTATAGTGGCTTAAAGCTTAAGATCAACACTTGCAATGTCCTGGTCTCACAGTACACAGGAGTATGCTGTGACCAGGGTGTGTGTGGCAGAGAAGATAAGCTAACAGTAAGGAGCTGGTGCCCTACACCAGTTGAGTTGAGTGGACAACATCGGAGGCATTGCTCATAGTTTGTAATAAAGAGTTACTCTGAGCTCGAAACGCTGCATCCTTTGCAGGTATGTTCAGGGACCAGATCAAGAAGCACATCACACATCACAGATAACATTTTTGTTAGCACTTTATTCTTAAAACAAATTCACAGTTTACTTTTTTACATTCTAAATCTACTTTTCTTGCCCCACTGATATAATTACTTATAATCTTGTGCATGCTGGACACTCAATTGTAAATCTTGATATTGTCAACTCTGCCACCTCCAGCTTTGTCTCTTGTTTCTGTCTCCAAATCAGCACTCCATCCATCATAGGAGGTCTTACTACCATCTTGGAAACCGTCCCTTTCCTTCTAGCTCCAATATCCTTCTTTCAGAAATCACCCTGACACTCGTCTTCACCCTCTCCACCCTGACTGAACTTTCACCTACAGCTCTGTTGTGCATTGTCCATTGTTTTGAATGGCTGATTCAAAGATTTAAATGAGTCAAAGATCCTTTATCGTTTCCTTTATTATGCAGTCACATAACGGAATTGCGTGTGGTCAGCTTAACACCAACTAGTATACAAAGCACAGAAAGATACATAATATATAAATATACAGAACAGGAAAAAACGGTAGCATTGTAGTTACATGTTCCAAAGTGCAGCTGCCCTGTGTGTGTGTGTGTATGCACAGGGGTGATAGAGTTCATTGTTCTAGGGGAAAAAGTGTGCTTCAGTCTAATGCTTCTTGCTTAAATAGTCCTAAACCACCTTCAAGAAGGCAGAGGGACAAACAGTCATTTACTCAAGTGCGTGGGATCTGCACCAAAGCAGCTGGCTTTCTTCTGGACACAGCAAGCATACACAGAGTCCAGATCTGTGAGAAGATTTTCCACAGCGCCCTGTGCTGTTCTCACTACCCTGGCCATGTCATTTCTGTCCTGTGCCGTGCAGCTGCCATGCCATACTGTCATACTACAACAGATGATGCTTTCTGTTGCGTTTCTATAGAAGTTTGCCAGCAGTCTAAAGAGCCTTTGCTGGGCCTTATTTACATTGATGGTTTATCAATGTTTCAAGTTTTTGCTGCACAGAAATTCATAGAAATGTTCACCACACTTTTTACTTTAATTATTTTCATTTAAAGGATGATTGAATTCCACATTTACAAGGTCAAAAAGTAGTCAAGTTGAAATTAAAAGAGAGACTTTTCCACTACAATCGTGACCTTAAATCTATCAGAGCTTTAACACAATGCAAATGCAGACAATGCACATATTGCTTGTAATTAAACATGGAAGGAACCTAAAACTGGATGCATTGATGCTCTGTTTTAATCAGCTGAGCTTTGTGTATTTGCCTGATAATTAAAAGTGTCTTTAGGTGTCTTGATGTCACCTCCTCATGTGGACCTTCAGTGGTGCAGTCTGTATAAAGACACCGACCATTTAAATCACCTCATTTTACGGACTGTTGCATATAAATAAGTATCTCCTGTTGGTTGAGTGTGTCGAGGTTGCTTTGGAAACTTGACCTGGGCATACTCCACTTCCACCTTTTTCTCTGCCTCTGCCTCATCCTCACCCTCACCCTCATCCTCATATTCATCTTCACTCTCAATCTCCACCTCGAACTCCAGCTCAAGCTCAGCCTGCAAATTCACTGCTGCTCTGAGCTCCACTTGGTCATCCTCTTCATCTGCAGAGTAGTAAGATCAAATTAAAACATTAGTTTGACTTCT